CAATGACATCGGGACGTCGGTCATCTCAGTCCCCCGTGACCATGGGTGCTGGAAAGCGCCCGAAACGTCGGGAATTAAAAATAAAAGTAAATAAAAAGTAAAAATAAACGCGATAAAATCCGTAAAAGTAGTTTTAATTCGAAGTATGTTTTACTTGCTTACTGAGAGTGGATGGGTTCAGAGAGCAAATATATTAAGTACATACCTAAAGCTGTTGTTAAACTTTTATTTTAAGATGTACCCATAAGATTTAGCTATTTTTGACTTTTTTTTTAATTCCTTTTTATTTCTTTTGATTTGTAAGAAATAATAATTATATGTACCTAATGTAAGTTTTCCCTTGGTTTTTTTTTGTAATTTTATTTATTACTGTGAAATTAGGGTAAACCAAGGTATAACTGGCCACTACCAATAACTAGCCACTTAGTACTTTATCTATTTGAAATAAGAATAATGTTTTATTTGCGCCATCAATGAACGTATCAAAAAAATGCCTCGTCATTCACCTTTCGTAGTAGTTCAACTTTTTTCGCTACAGATACTAGCGCCCAAGCAAACTGCCATTTACTGACAGTTGGTGTACGTGTCTCGACATGCAAGTTACTTTACTACGTAAATGTTAGTGGCTAAGTTTTTACAAAATTTAAATTATAGGTGATAATACTTGGCGTTGGTGAAAGAATCGCATATTTCTACATATTTGCTTGGTGAGTTATATGAATCTTTATTTTAATTCTAATAAAATCTTAAATAAGCCGTTATTGAAAGGGTGGCTAGATTCTGAAGTAATTTTTTTGGAAGTTTTTAGTTATTGGCCACGTATGCCAGTTACTAAAGTTTTACCTATTATTCAAATTTCTTTAACAATAACTCGTATTTATGATGTTTTTAAGGTGTAGTATTGTGTATTTTCTTTTTAGCAGAATTAGTCGACTCTGATCAGAAACTGGCATAGGTGGCCAGTTTGTGGCCAGTTACTAATCTATTTTCTTATTTATTTTACAGTTCATTGAAGTGTTAGTAAAATGTCTAAAAAACGACAATACGGCAAAGAAACAATAGATAAGGCTCTAAAATTTATTGAGAATAAAGAGGGTTCAATTCGACAGGCGGCAAAACAATTTGGTGTGCCCAGAAGTAGCCTCCAATTTAAAATTAAAAATCCTGACACAAAGTTTAAGTCTGGACCAGATCCAGTGCTAACTGAAGCTGAAGAAAACAGTTTATGTGACTTCATCATACAACTATCAAAGCGTGGCTTCCCAAGAAAGAAAGAGGATATCCAATTATGTGTCCAGAATTTTTTGCAACAAAATCCGAGACCCAACCCTTTCCGAGACAACAAACCGGGAGATGTGTGGTTTAAGGCTTTCCTGAAAAAGACATCCTAATATTTCTATTCGAACATCAGAAGGAGTTACCAATGCAAGCGCTTGTGTTTCTGAACAGGATATTAGGAAATGGTTTCGGGAAATAAAGCAGTATTTTGACGAGGAAGAACTAAATGACGTCATTCAAGATCCCATAAGAGTATTCAATGCCGATGAAACTGGATTCAATATTTGCCCGAAAACAGGCAAAGTATTGGCTGAGAAAGGGTGCAAAAATGTGTACCAGATAGAAAAAAGATCTTCTAAAGAAAACATTACAGTTTTATTTACGTTTTCTGCTGCTGGACACGTCTTTAGGCCAATGATTATCTATCCTTATAAACGGATACCTGACCGAGTTTCGTTGAGTGTGCCATCTGGTTGGAGAATAGGGCGAAGCGACACAGGTTGGATGACTGCAGCAGTTTTTTATGATTATATCTCTAACTGCCTGCACCCACAAATTTTAGAAAGTAATATCCCACTACCAGTAATTCTATTTGTCGACGGACACAAAACCCATATAACCATAGAAATATCAGAACTATGCCGCCGTCTTGAAATACATCTAATAGCGCTTTGTCCAAACGCAACTCGTATACTACAACCAGCAGATGTCGCAGCTTTTCGCCCAATAAAGGTAGCTTGGAAGAAGGTACTGCGCGATTGGTACGCTGCGAATAATTACGAAAATAGTCTGACCAAAGAAACCTTTGCTCCACTCTTAAAAACAGTTGTAGACTCGTGTTCTAAGAAAGAGACATTAATAAATGGATTCAGAGTAACCGGTTTATGTCCATTTGAACCAAATAATGTTGATTTTAGCAAGTGCATTGCAAGGGTAAACCAACCCGATGATACACCCACGTCAGAAAAAAATGTTAAGCATAATATGAACGTGTTGACCTATTCAGAGTTTTGTAACATTGTGGGTGAGTCAATTCTTGAAAAATGTCGAACAGTCTCTTCCATTTTAGAGTCAGATGATAACTTTTTTGCAATTTACAATTTATGGCAAAGATTTGAGGCTGCATCGGAAAACAATAATAATTATAGAATTAATAATGACGTGGACCGTGGCCCTTTCGACAAACCGACCAAAATCGTAGAAGACAATTATGTGACTGATATTATAGAAGATGACGAAACCCCTAGGTCGATTCTTGATGAATTTACTGGTGAGTTAATAAATAAAAACGAAGAAAGAGAAGATGAAAAGAAAGAAGTGTATAGCGAGCCGACACTTCAGAATAATTTAATAGAACGTAGTCTCACTCCGCAGCCTAGCACGTCAAAACAAGTCACATATTCGACGGTTTCCATAATTTCTAATGTATCTCTAACTGAATACTTGAAACAAAACTTACCATTATCACCTAAGCGACAAGGAAAGCGCCAAATAGAAAGACTGCCATTTGCTTTAACTTCAGACCAATACGTGGAAAGAATAAAAGCAAAACAGTTAAAAAAGATTGAAGAAGAAGCTGCAAAAGAGGAAAGAAAGAGACTAAGAGAAGAAAAGAAGAAGGAAAAAGAAAACAGTATACCTAAGAAGAAAATCAAGAAAAAAAGTGATGGAAAAAGCAAAACAAAGATAATTGAAGAAGATATATGCAAAGAAAATACTGAAAATACATATGAGGTTAATGAACAAAAAGTTTTTTTGTGATTTTTGTTCGAATCTCATTACAAGTAGGGTTATTGAATGTAACCAGTGTAAAAAACGGTTTCATTTAAATTGTATTCCGTCATATCACAGACTCCATGTACCTGTGGAAGATGAGGATCAGTTTTTGTGCCACATGTGCTATCGAGAGAGTAATACTGACTCATCTGACGGTGATTGTGATGCCATGTTTAGCTCTGCTTGTGAAGAAGCACGAAAACAAGGCTTCGGTTCAAACTTTATGCTATAAAACTATATTAATTTTAAACTTGTTGATTTGTTGTTCGTGTGAATTAAGAAAGTTCCTATGTCGTATTATTTTTGATCTCATATTAATATTACGGGTAAAATTTTGATTTATTGTCTAACATAATGAATGTTGTTTTGTTTAAAGTTTATTTTTTTTTATATTCCTTTGTATATAGTAGGATGAAACAGAGGCTTATTTCATGTGGCCAATTAATAGTTTAATGACGGCCAGTTTCTAAAATTAGTGGCCAGTAACTACCAAAAGTGATAGTTTTTTGATTTTATTAAAATTTGATACAAAATATTGTTTTGTTTTACTTTTAAAATCCCGAATTATGTAAAATAATGTGCATATTATTTAGTGGCATTGCAATAAATCTAATATAATAACTTATTTTGACATAATTAAAGTCTGACTTTGTGAAAGTGCTTAAGTGGCCAGTTACTGGTGGTTTTACCCTATTTGTATCTAAGCCCCGTGCAACTGACCGAATGTTAGGTTTCTTTTCAACCGTGTATAAGGACATGCACGAAGTCAGGATGGACGAATGTTAGGTCTTCACTTAGTTAATTTATTAAGAATAAAGTTCATTTAATATAGTTTGTTTAAGCACTTGACTTTTTATTGGTAAATTCATTTTATTAGAATGGCAACACTTTAGTAAGGGAGGGGATGTGGTCAGCTGCTCGAAGCAAAGACTGCATTAAGTAAGGAGCGGAGGAAGGCGGTTGTGTCGATTACTAAGCATAGAATAAGACCAAATAAGTGTAAATTATAGTTTAAACCTAAGCCTCAGGGCACAATAAAAGTGTGAGCAGTAATCGGAGAGCGTTTTATTATAACAGGTTGTTTGCCTTTAACTTCATTTTGAATTATTTTATGCCAAGATTCCAATGAATATGTAATCCTGTGAGGCACTGCTTTTATTTCATTGACCTTTCAAACAATAAATATATAAATATTTTTATAGGTAATGTGTACTAAATAGATCGATGAACACGCATTTCCGAGTAATCGCCCCCAGGGTGGATAAACGCATTAACCCGATTTCTGTCCGACACTAGCATAGTTTTTATTTGACTCAACTAAAAATAGACATTAAATAATACTATTTTCCATAGTCAAAAAAATTATGAGCAGTAAAATTACTTTCAAAAAATGTTTGCGTTCGCCCAGATTATTGTTTCGGAGAAATTTCAACAAAGTCGGCAACGTATAACATAGTCTTGATAAATTTCATTTATTCCAGTCTACCAAACTTCCCCTGAAAAAGGTGTCTTTTTACCTCATAAGAGAAATAATTATTAAAAAAATATTACCATAGTCAGCACTCAGCACTTCCTAAGACAACATACGGAATGTATGGGTTTTTATTTACTTTTACGCCGCTGTCATCCGACACTTAATACGGCGCAGCGTTAGATAGTTCGCTTCCGATAAAACGAAGTCTAATGAAATAAAAGGCTGTTTTCAGTAATAAAAAACGTATAATATTTGTTTAAGTCACACACAATACAAGTATAAATTACATAATGTAAATGAAAACAAACAAAACGTCATAACAAAGTAAAACAAAATATTGCGCAATTCGTTGTGATTGATAAAGATATCTATCAAAACTAAAAAAAAATCTAATAAACGTGTAAATAATTAAATACTGTTAAACATTTGTTCATGGTTTCAATAATATGTAAGGTACAAAGTTGCAACTTATTTACTTATCTGTGGCGGGAAGTTTCTCTAGAACGTTCTGCAGGTACTTTATGGCACTGTCTAAGATTTGCATTTCGCACTCTTTGAGCAGTTTTATATTTTTCCTGTAAATATACATCTTCATTTAGAACAATTATTAATTACGCAACAATTATTAAGATGACGATGATGATGTAGTCAATGATTTCCTAATAGGAGGGATATTTCGAACAGTTTTCATGCTTGGCAGGTGAAGAAGAGGTGCTGTGTTACACTTTGTCTTTGTCTACTTTTACTACACATACGGGATGCGATGTGATAGTAGATATTGTTACGGGAAACAAATTAACTTCACGTAGGACGCTAACGTTTTTTTAAAAACTATTACAAGCCAGTGCTTGAATTGATTTTAACAGTGGTGGAGCCATGCGGCAGCTTTAGCTGTCCTTGCTTGCCGCAGCTCCATCGGCGTGAAGTGGAAGCTCTGATTTTGCGTTTCATCTGGTGAGAGTAGGTGGTCGGAGCCCCCATCAAGATGGTAGAGGAAATAAATGTAACACTACACTAGGAGGGTACCAGCACCACTTGAGAATCCCTTGCTGAGCATCCACGACCAAGCTACTCTCCAGACTGCCCTGCGTATTATGGTGGGGAGGGGGGAAGGAACTTCCGTTCAAGACAATAACAGCTCTGGCCAAGCTGAACAACAAAACCAAGGCGACCCCTGCCACGCTATCCGTGAATTTTTGCAATATCAAGAGACTTCACTCGAACCTAAATGCCGTCCAGTACCATCTCGAGACAACGAAGCCGGCCTTGCTCTTTCTGACCAAGACACAGGTGTCCTCTCCGGCTTTAACGGCTACCACGCTGAATGGCTCGGTTCACGTTTAACCGATCATGCAGGAAAATCTGTTCATGTATTTGCCTTGGCATATGGTCTGACACAACTGATTACTTTGCCTACGCGGATTCCCGATGTGGAGGATCACCACCTTCCATATTGGACTATCTGCTGACCTGATATCAGGTCTCCGTCAACGCCTCGCCTCTTGGCTCCTCGGAACATTGTCTAGTCCGGAGTGTGTTGCCTCTCACGCTGAAATCGCGGTTGCATTCTGCAGGCTGCCGCCGTGTTTGGCACTGTAGGTCGGCCGATTGGGATAGGATGCGGTCTTTCTTTGCATTCTACCCTAGAGGGCGGGTTTGCTTCTCGCCGGACAATCGCAACGTTGTTGCTAATTCTGTCGCTGATATTCATTCAGATTCAGGGTATGGAACTTTTCATTCCATTCTATGTGGTGCTCATCAAAGGCATATCTCGGCTATGGTTTAGTCGCTCCTGTAAAATAGCATCATGCTATAGACAGGGGTGCTACCGGGCCTGGGCTGACGCATCAATATCCCGGGATATAACTACACATATAAATACACTAGCGCTCTTAAAAAGAAGTATAATTCCGCCAGGTCCTTCAAAAGGGTCATTGCCAAGGCAAAGTCAGAACACATAGGCAAAATTGGCGAGAAACTAGGTCACCTTCCTTCTGGAACCCGTGCATTCTGATTTCTCGCCAAGGGAGGACGGCTTATTGGCTCATGCCCTAAAGGAGAAAGCCGATATGCTAGGCTATTTCTTTGCGTCCAACTCGAATCTCGATGACGGGGGGAGCACGTCGCCGACCATCCCGCGGTGTGTGCTCCATGCCGGATGTGCGGTTCACACATAGCGCTCGGTTCTTAAAGCACTCTTCTTCCTGAACATCAATAAGTCGAGCGGGCCTGACGGAATTCCCTCAATTGTTTTTTTTTTTTATAGGATAGGGTGACAAACGAGCACACAGTCCACCTGATGGTAAGTGGTCGCTGTGGCCCATAGACATCTACATCTATCCTCGATTACGTATCAAAATGCAGATGCGTTGTCACCCGTGAGGACTAAGATGGAATGCCTCGCTTCCAGTAAAAAGGGTCTCCGGTTCTCTACACTCACCATACGAAATACAGCAGCATTAAGCTACTATTTCACGCTGGTATTCTGTGAGAGCGTGGTCCTTCCCCGGTCGAGCCGACCCATTCGTGCTACAACTATACTACTAATATAACTGCAGCATGGCTCTACCACGTATAAATTGTTCTGAGAACGTGTGCTTTAGAGTTGGCACCGGTTTTTTCCGGTACTACTACTCCCTAGGCGTAGTCCTGGAATCATAGAAGACGGCATTCGTCCACCCGATCCCTACCGTGACAGCTCAGATCCGTCTAACTACAGGCCTATCGCCATCACCTCCTTGTTCTCCAATATAATGGAATCAATTATAAACTACCAGCTCATGCGGTTCCTTGAGGATCACCAGCTGATTAGTGACCGCCAATACGGTTTTCGTCAGGATCGATAAGCTGGTGATCTTCTGGTTTACCTCACTCATAGATGGGCGGAGACAGTAGAGTCCAAGGGGGAGGCATTGGTCGTTAGTTTTGTATATTTCGAAGGCCTTCGATCGGGTTTGGCACAAAATGCTTCTTTCGAAGCTCCCTTCCTACGGGCTTCCCAAGAAATTGTGCAATTGGATCACCAGCTTTCTTGCAGATCGGAGCATACATGCCTATTAATGCTGGTGTTCCACAAGGCTGCGTTCTATCACCAACGCTGTTTGTTCTGTATATCAATGATATGTTGCAAACCGGTAACATTTATTGCTATGCGGATGACAGCACTGGTGATGCTCTGTAGACCGGCCGTGTCAATATTTCTCGGGTAAATGTTGCCGAGCCGGAACAAACTTGTGTCTGAAATCGAGTCTTTGCTGAACAAAGTCTAGGATTGGGGGCGACTAAATCTAGTCCAGTTTAATCCACGGAAGACACAAGTTTGCGCGTTTACCGCTACAAAGAACCCTTTTATCGTATCTCTTCAGTTTCAAGGCACTCCCCTTGTTCCTCATCCACGGCGTTGATATATCGAGTTACGAGCAATTTCGTGATCACTTGGAAGAGAAGACCAAATTGGCCTCTAAAAAGCTTGGCGTGCTCAGCAGAGAGGGACAGTATTTCATTGCGGCACACCGCCTGCAACTTTACAAGGCGCAGGTTCGGCCACACATGGAATTGTTCGGATTAATCCCAGCCGCCAAATTTCATGAACACACATCGCGGCAAAACTCCCGACACCATCCACAAAATCTGGATGCTTGGCGGACCGCCACTGTACGTTTCACGAGGAGTTTTCTTCCACGTACGACTTTTCTGTGGAATAATTTAGCACCGGCGATTTTTCCGGACCGATATGACTTGGGGACCTTTAAGAAAAGAGTTTACTTCTTTCTAAAATGTTTGCAACGCACCTGCAATTCCTCTGGTGAGCCGTATCCATACACAATCATCACTTACCATCAGGTGAGCAGTATGCTCGTTTGTTCCCTTTCCTATAAAAGGCACCCAAAACGTAATCCGATTGAAAACCAGATGCTGCTAAATTAATTTCGACTCCTTTGCTCTTCACAATATGAACGACCAAACAAACTGTCTGATTCTAATGCGTTGAATGTGAACAACAAAGGAGTGGAGATCAGCCGAGCGTCTTGCTGGTACAATCATAGAGGAAGATCGAAGATTTCTAGGTTGTACTGTAGCAACGTGGTTGCTCCCTTTTCCTTGCTCCACCAAAAATAAAAATAGGTACCTAGGAATTATTAAGGATTACTCTGCACAGTAAGACAGGGTGATGTTATATCCCCGAAACTTTTCACCGCTGCGTTGGAAGACGTTTTCAAGCTACTGGACTGGAAAGGATACGGTATTAACATCAATGGCGAGTACATCACTCACCTTCGATTTGCCGACGATATAGTCCTTATTTTTATATTATATTATAGGCAGAATCGCTGGAGGGCCTTAGCACATGCTCAATGACCTCAATTGTGTCTCCCAACGGATAGGTCTTAAGATGAACATGGACAAAACAAAGATCATGTTTAATGTCCATGTCATACCTATGCCGGTAGTTGTTGGGAGCATTATGCTCGAAGTTGTTGACGAGTATGTTTACCTGGGACAAATAGTCCGACTAGGTAAGTCCACCTTCGACCGAGAGGTCAATCGACGGATTCAACTCGGCTGGGCAGCGTTCGGTAAATTACGACGCATCTTCTCGTCAGGTATACCTCAATCTCTGAAAACTAAAGTGTATAACCAGTGCGTGTTGCCAGCGATGATTTACGGATCTGAGACGTGGTCCTTCACTGCTGGCCGTATGAGGACGCTCAAGGTCGCTCAGCGTGCTATGGAGAGGGCTATGCGCGGAGTTTCTCTGCGTGATAGACTCAGAAATGAGGATATCCGCAGTAAAACCAGAGTAACTGACATAGTCCAACGGATAAGTAATTTGAAGTGGCAATGGGCCGGCCATATAGCTCGAAGAACCGATAACCGATGGGGAAGAAAGGTTCTCGAGTGGCAGCCTCGTACCGGTAGGCGTAGTGTAGGGCAACTCCCCACTAGATGGAGTGACGACCTGGTAAGACATGCAGGAATTTGATGGATGCAGGTGGCTCAGGAACGTGCTTTGTGGCATTACTTGGGGGAGGCCTATGTTCAGCAGTGGACTTGTGGGGCTGTAATAATGATGATGAGTCTCTGCACAGGTGAAGTATGTTGTCTATAAGTTAGTTAGAGTATAGTTTTTGCTATATTACCTATGATCTGTGATGGGGGGAGATTCTTCAGGGTCTTTTTTGTAGGACGCTCTTATAAGTTTGCATCGTGTAAGGAGATAAGTGTATGCGCGTCGGTCTAACTGTGTTCCAACCACTTCAGCACTGGTAGGATCCGATGATACAAGGTCACCTGGTAGGCCTTGACTTGACCATTTTGTTAACTCCTCTGAAATTACAAAGAATATATTTTTTTATTTTATATAAGATTTAACAAGAGAGAGTATGATGATCCTGAAGTCTGACGATGATGAAGTTTGCAGTCTGTGATCATAAAATAGTATAAATAAAAGCGACAGTAGCCTAATGGCAGGGCGCGGACCGCGAACTCAAAAAGGTCGTGGGTTTGAATCCGCCATTTGCATACTGGCGTGAACCACTCGTAACACAAGCAATTTAAGCTTACCACGAGTGGTTAAGGGGAATATTAGTAATTTTTATAGCATTGTTAAAATTATTTTTAAAATATATATATATATATATATATATATATATATATATATATATATATATATATATATATATATATATATATCCTAAAAGGCTTCCGCCAAATTCTCGGGAAAGAACATAGATTTCTAACAAGGAAGATTCGCGAGGCTATTGTAACTAAAGTACTTCTTAATTAAAAGAGAAGAGTTCAAGGGATGGGAGAGTAAGAGGATGACTCGTGTAGAGGCGAAACACGTGTCGTATTATCGTCGATGGTGTGTCTTTCCTGGAATAGAGGTGTTGGAAGAAGTGATGCCGTGAGTAGTGGTGCTGGTAGTAGTAGGTGACGGACTTAGTGCACGCAATTGAGGGAGGGCGGGAGGTGCTCTTCTATCCAGGTAAGACACATCATTGCATTTAGCTAGCGGAAGGTTGCAAAGTAATCAATATCTTTAATACACACTTTGTCATAGAATGTATAGTAATGACGTTGTGCCTGTTGCAAACTGCTATGTCTATTATGAGAACTGTTTTTTTTTATTTTGTTTACTATTGTTATGTCCTGTTCCAATATAATTTAACGAAATTACTTTCTAAAACAGTGCTGAGATTATATTTGTAAAAAGCGATTTTTTTTTTCAATGAATGAATGTTTGTGACCTAGGTTTTAGTGGATAATTGCAACACCTCGGTCATATCCATGTTTGTAGTCTGTCTGAACAACAGATTTACATGCGCCGTTAATATATTATATTGTTTCTGAGTTACTGTGACATCGTCCACATAAGTCAGTGGGTGGGTTGGGAATTCGAATTATGTGTTTTCGATAGTTACGAGTATCAATCACTTGATCCTAAATAGAAATCACAAAAGCCTTCGTCTTCTCTGAAGAGCTCTCCGCGTCGCAGCCACTTGTTCGACGCTTGCCTGTTGACATGTGCTTGACTGAATTCAGCAAGGTGCCTATAATGCAGAGACTTCTGTGACCACAAATCTATTTACTGATGTTTGCTTATTAACTTTGGTTGAAAATTTCTGTCGTTTAGGTTAAGGGGAGTTAGTTTTTTATCAATATATGTAATATATTTGTGGAGTTGCGAATGTCCAGATTTAACATAAAAATATTTACGTAATCAGTCTATTATGTTGTATAAATTTTGTGTATCGATGTTACCTGTTCCACCATTTTGACGTGGTAATGTGAGAAGCTGTGTACATGACTGGGGTGGTGTTTTCTGTTCGCTGTTATATTTGTATTAATAGTGCGTTGAAATTTAACTCACTAATTTGATTAAATCATCAATCAAATTGTCCGCCAAATTGTACATATAATCTGCTTTTTGTTTTGTTATCTGTATATTTGTTTGTGGTGTACAATAACAGTATATTCATTTATTCATTCATTAAATCACTCTGGGACCAATTTATCACCCCAAAGACGTAGGTAAGGTTCGGTATTTCGTAGGTAATTATGTCTTTTATACTATTGCGTGAATTTAGTTGAGTTCTTAATATTTGGTTTATCCTATTTTTTTATTATATTTTTTAGTTAAATCTAATTTTGCTTGTTTTGATGTATTTGGTTGGACTGATTAAACCCTAAGTAACTAAGTTCGTCCATGGGCTCTTTTGTTAACCTGTGTCGAGTATATAACTCTTACAAGGTTATGAATCTATAAGCTCTATATAAAACTTTTAGTTTAATGTGTAAGTTAGTTTGTAATTTACGTTAAAAAAAAGATTATAGAAATAAATAACATATTAACCACTCACCCTGGTTCATGCTGAATATCCTTATAAATGCGAGCAGCTCTGCGCTGATTGGAGCTTCCCCTAAGTACAGGTTAAAGTGTGTGACACCTGCGAGGCCTAGCTTGCTAAGTAACGAAAGCCTCGTCTCACGAGCTGGGTCCCCGGAACTCACACCCAGGGCCAAGGATAGGCTATCATGCTGATTATTTGGATATACGAATCTGTAAAATAAAACGTTTAGTTAAAATCTATGATTTTTTTTAATGGTTCTTCTGTTCGCCAAGGAACGCGTAAAATATTTCGTTTTGTCTCAAACCAACAAAGACATGTGTGTTATTACTTATAGATACTAACTAAGAATAAATAATATAGATACTAACTATCTAAATAAGAATACCAGCTTTATGGTAATGGGTTTTTCGCACGGTGAGTGTGGAGATCCGGAGACACTTTTTTCTGGAAACGAGGCATTTCATCTTGGTCTTTAGGGGTTATAACGTATCTGCATTTTAATCGAGGATAGATGTTGATGTCTTTGGACCACATTCACTTACCATCAGGTAGTCTGTGTGCTGATTTGTCACATTTATTTTACATAATACATAAATACTAAATAGTGGCTACTCGATGTGCGAGTTGCTCTCGAGATTTATTTTTCTAAGCTAGGAAATCCGGACTCTACCGTTATAAAAATGTGTTCAAATGAAACATTATAGGTTGATATACCCATAAAATATGAAGTACAGTATTAAATTCTTGAATTTCTAACTATTTCGAACATTATTTTGTGTGTAAAAAGTGCAGTGACGAAAATCAATCTGTGCGCGTGGCGTGAAGTGCCGAGCCCGCATCGCGCTCTTTCGCTCTAACGGGAGCTAGCTATATCTGTTTTGTCGTACAGTGTTATAACATTCTTGGAATTGAGAATAAATTGTACGGCATGTGGCAGTAACATTGATGTTGAGGAGATGATTAAATGCAATGGATGCAAGGTAGAATACCATTATAGATGTGTGAATATTACCTCGGCTGCGTTTAGGGAAGAACGAGAACATTTGAAACGTACTTTCAAGTGTGATTTTTGCTTAAACATAACCCAGCGTATACGGGTAACCGACGACACACCAGTACGTGGTGTTCGCACCGCCTGCCTCGTTGAACATAACCAATCTTTCGAGGGAAATGTTTCTCAGGCGATAGCAGAGTCGTTAACATCGGACGAGATAATAGATAAAGTTGAGAGAGTAATCATGGCAAAAATTTGTGCTTTTGAAACCAACATTATACAAGAAATTAAAAACACTGTGGCAGTACTTGCGCTAGAAAATAGTAAATTAAGGCAGGAATTGAAGGATGCTAATATGAAATGTAGTTCTTATGAACAACAAATTAAATGTTTAAAAGCTAAGAGGCAAGTGTTAGAGATAAGTGAGGAAAATGAAACTTATATCAGTACCGAATGCCAAAATCGACGATTAATATCTACAATACCAGAGTGTATATCTACAATACCAGAGTGTACTGAACCAGCTATTTCATCCAATATCAACAAAATAAGGGCTATCACGCGCGGGCGACCGCGCTGTCGAAGCCCCCGGAAACAAATTATGCGGCGGCGGCGGCCAGGAAAGCAGTGGATACTAAAGTCGGCGATAACGATGGTAATGATTGGATAGAAGTCAAAAATAAAAATAAAAGGAGGAGTAACCTTATACAAAGAGGAGGTAACAAATCAGTTATTTTTATAAAAGCAGTTGAACGTAGAAAATTTTTACATGTTTGGAGACTGGAAAAATGCACTACAGAAGAAAATCTACAGGAGTTTTTAAAAAAATACTGGAAAACGAGTAATCGTTATTGAAAAATTAATACCTAAAACTGAGCGAGAATACGCGTCGTTCAAGATTGGTGTTACGTTAAGCGATTATGACAAGCTTTGTGACCCAGAAGTATGGCCAGTAAATGTAGAATTCAGTGAATGGATTTGGTTTCGCCGCTCAACCAAAACAACCAAAACAAACAAATCGGAAACCGAGTAGACATTTTAACGTTTTTTACCAAAATGTCAGAGGACTGCGGACAAAGACCACACAATTTTTATCATTATTAGAATCATCAGGATCTGATCTATTCGCTATTACTGAAACTGGCTTAAATGAAGCGATTCAAAACTCAGAATTCGTGCTCCCCGGATACCAAATATTACGATGTGACCGGGCAGATGGGCGCAAACAGGGAGGCGTACTTTTAGTGGCCACACAGCGGTTCGAGTTGCGACGAGTGACTGTGCCAGGTGGTTTTAATATTGACAGTCAAAAGTTTGAACTAATTTGTGCTGCTGTTTATATTCAAAACCATTTTTTATTTACTTGTTGTGCCGTGTATATACCGCCGCAGGCTGACGAGAACGAATATATGTTAATGTTTAGCATATTAGAAAAACTATGTGTAAAATATAGTTATATTAGGGGACTTCAATATGTACTCTTGTAATAATAATATATCTAATTATTACGAATATTTCATGGCCTTCTGTGAATTCACTCAGTGTAATGTGGTACCTAATTGTAACAATAGGCAGTTGGACCTCGTGCTGTGCAGTAGCGGCGGCGTCTCGGTAAGTGCGGCGGACGAGGGCCTGCAGTCCGTGGACGCGTACCATCCACCGCTTGCCGTGGGCATCGAGCTCGGCGCACGTGCGCCGCAGCTTCTCCCCGCAACCACTATACCTTCTGGATCACCGTGTGTACGATACTCGTGCTCACGATCCCCGATAACTCGGAAATTATGGAATTTTAATAAAGCCGACTTTATTCAGTTATACAATTTATTTACAAAAATAGACTGGAATGAGATATACTATATACATGACCCGGACGACGTTCTAAATTTATTTTATGATAAGATATATGATATTTTTGACAAGTGTGTTCCCCCAAAAATATATATAAACTCAGTCAATAGGAGATATACTTATCCGGTTTGGTACACGCCTGAAATAATTAAGGATATAAAGCTGAAATATAAATTACATAAAAAATATAAATCTAGCAAAGCGCGCAATGATTACGAGGAGTTCTCTCGATGTAGGGCAAGAGTTAAAGCCGAGACTGCACAAGCACATGACCATTACTGCGACCGCGTGCAGGGACATTTGGCAAAGGATCCGCGAGCGTTTTGGGGGTACATAAGATCTAGGAAAGGCGATTCGAATCATCGAAGGTTAATCAATGACGGACGGGTACTATCAGAACAAGAATGTGCCAATGAGTTCGCTCGATTCTTCCAGTCGGTTTACAATCCGACGCCTCCTAAGCTGAACGTGGCGGCGGCAAGCATAAGTGCGGCGACGGGTGCGGCGCCGGGTGCGTGGGCGCATCTCGCGTGCTTATGTCCCGATGACGTACGGCGCGCACTTGCGGGTTTACCGCCGAAGTCTTCGGCGGGGCCCGATGATATTCCGGCGTTTATTTTTAGGGGCTGTCGTGCAGTATTAGTAAAGCCGTTGCTACACATATTCAATGTTTCTATTAAGGCTGCAAAGTTTCCTGATCGTTGGAAACTCACCCGGGTAGTACCCGTGCCGAAAGGTAGCAGAGGTTCATCCCCCAGTGATTATAGACCCGTGGCGGTATTATGCACTCCAGCTAAAGTTTTTGAGTCGACCATTCACAGTAGTTTGTACCCACAAATAAGTGCTCTGTTGTCCGACGCACAGCACGGCTTCCGTCCCGGGCGAGGGACAACGGGGAACTTGCTCGAGCTAATGACACACATAGTACCAACGGTAGATGCTGGCCAACAAGTGGATGTTGCCTATTTTGATTTTAAGAAGGCATTTGACACAGTAGACAATGACGTCCTATTAGCGAAGTTGGCTAGCGTCGGCTGCACACCGCATACGCTATCATTTTTCGCCTGTTATTTACGAGACCGATGTCAGTATGTTGACTGCAGCGGACGGCTTTCCGAACCCTACTTTACAAGATCAGGTGTCAGTCAGGGCAGTAATTTAGGGCCTTTTCTCTTTATTCTGACAATCAACGATTTGCCTGAAGTAGTCAATAAGTCTACACCCTTGTTATTTGCTGATGACCTGAAATTAGTTTTAAAAATAAAGCATCGGGCGGATCATGACATGCTACAGCAGGATATAACGAAAGTCGTAGAGTGGAGTTTGGAAAATAAATTATATTTCAACGCGCCAAAATGTTCTATTCTATCATGCAGCCGTGCACATAACCCGAGTAGTCATCGATACTATATGGATGGAACCCCTCTGCAACGAGTTTTTGAGGTTAATGATTTAGGCGTGCGATTCACTACCGACATACAATTTCGAAAACACATTACTAATGTTTGTAAAAAAGCATACCGCAACCTAGCGATGGTCTTACAGCTAGCCAACAGATTCACAAACATCTGTGCTCTGAGAGCATTATACGAGGCACTCGTAAAAAGTCATTTAGAATGTAATGCTGTTGTTTGGTCACCACATGAAGTCAAATATAAATTAATGCTAGAACGTATTCAGAACAAATTTGCGAGATTTATGTATTTAAAACAGTATGGTGTGTACCCGGGTTATCTACTTTTGTACCCTACTTTATTTATACTAGGCATGATAGGCTATTATAAACTAGAAATAAGAAGGGAAGTTGCTCTCGCCACTTACTTACTAAAAGTGATCCGTGGTAAAATACATAACCCAGGTATTTTACAGATAGCTGAGCTGTGTGTCCCTAATGAGTACGTAGGAACACGGCGGCGGCCGCCGGTTTTGTCGGTGCCGCAAGCGCGCACCAACTTGCTACAGCACGCGCCTTTGACGCGCGCGCTGCGTACACTTAACGTGGTCTCACAACAGACTGATTTTGAAGGTAGAGCCCCCACATAGGCCCGGTTTCCCGGCGCAGTGCCACCGCTGCCAACTTTATGGTCACGCGGCGGCCAACTGCTCCGCCCCACCCAGGTGCGTGAAGTGCCTGGAGCCACACAACACTAAAGAGTGTCCCCGGCCCAAAGACGCCGAATCCCCGCCCGCCTGTGTCCTGTGCAACCAGACAGGACACCCGGCGAACTACAAGGGTTGCCCACGCGCACCTCAACCTCGCCCCAGTAGGAAAGCTCCACCGCCGGTGAATGACCGATCTTTTCCGGCCCTCCAACAACCGCCCCGTCAGGGCCCTTCTCAGCCTATCCAGGGCTTCCCTCGACCCTCTCAGGGTCCCCATAGGCCCCCTCAGGGTCCCCCTAGGCCCCCTCAGGGTCCCCCCTAGGCCCCCCTCAGGGCATAATTCGGCCCCCCTCCGGGCTTCTCCAAGCCAATGCAGCCTCCAGTCTTTCCCTGGGGGCCCAAAAAGGCAGACCCACCGCGGACAACCTCGTACGCTCATGAAGCAGAGCCCACAATCGACGACTACAACACGCTATATTCCGCTATTAGGAATATCGACGTTAGGGAAATAACAGTTGTATCACGCAAACTGCGCGCGGCCAAGTCCCCCCAAGAACGTCTCCTCGTTCTTGCGGAGCACAATAACCTTTTGTTAGCGTTGTAAGTTAGGTTAACTTAATTAACTTAACTTCAATGACTGAGAGAATTAACCTACCTAGATCTCACGGTCGTATCAAACCTAAGGGTTTATCGCTTGTATCATTTAATATTCGCGGCTTGCGAAATAACCTCCCAGAGCTCAAGCTCTTTCTTCGGAATCGTGAAGTCGATTTCCTCCTCCTACAGGAAACTAATCTCAAAGCTAAGGACACTAGAGGCCTTTCTATTAAAAACTTCTCTCTTCTTCGTAACGACAGACCCGACCGCCGAGGCGGCGGAACGGCCATCTATTACAAGAAGACACTTCATTGCTCGCCCATTTCTACTCCGCAGCTTACCAACATGGAAGCCACGGTATGCAGGCTAGCTATGACTGGACATCAGTCCATCCTCATAGCCTCCTGTTACATCCCTTCAGGAACCTATCCCCTCAAAAAAGATTTTGAGGCCATTTTATCCTTGGGCAATTCAGTCATTATGTTTGGAGATTTTAACTCAAAGCATACTGAATGGACATGCCGCACTACGTCACCTAGTGGCAAGATACTGCTCGATATCACGCAGTCTCTTGATATCACCGTCCATAGTCCTCTCGGTGTTACTCACTTTCCCGATAACACCGATCACTCACCTGATGTGTTAGATTTTGCGTTACTCCAAGGAGTTTCTCTCAACCTCAGAGCAATCGAGACACTAGACGATCTAGGATCAGATCACCGACCGGTCTCCCTCATTCTTGGCCATCAGCCACCTCCCTCAACACACACGAAAACCTTCACAAACTGGAAGGGATTCAAGGAGTCCCTAGCCAAAGCCCTGGACTCACAGGATTCTACCATCTCACCAAAATCGACACCGCGGTCGATTCACTCTCCACCCTTATTAAATCCTCCCTTAAGGAGAACGAAAGGGTCGTCCCGGTTGCTAACAATAGTGGGCTTCCCCTACATATTAGCAACCTAATAAAAGCCAAAAAAGCTGCTTTCCGGAGAGCAGCAAAATATCCCACCCCCGAATATAGGCGCGCGGCCAATCGTCTTCAACGAAAACTCCGCTTCCGCCTCTCTGAATTTCAAGATCTCGAAAAGAGTAAGCTCATGGAGAATATCTCTCCATCTCACACAGCGTACTATCAGATGGCTAGAGCCCTCCGCATAGACGCTATCACCCACACTCCCCCTCTCTCCCGTCCCGACGGCACGGTTGCCTTCGAGGACGAGGAAAAGGCTGAGTGCTTTGCGGATAGCATTGCCGCTCAATGCTCCCCTAGTTCTCAACCTGTCGACCCCTCACACGTCCAGGCAGTGGAGGATGAGGTTCGCCGCCGGAACTCACCCCCCACGGCCTCCGAACCTATCTCTGTGTCCAATGATGAGATTTCATCTCTCATCAAAGGACTTAAGCCTAAAAAGGCTCCGGGCGCGGATGGCATCTCCAACCAAGCCCTTAAACACTTTCCCGAGCAGGTGTTAACCTTTTTATCTATTATCTTCAACGCCTGCTTCAACCTTAGTTATTTTCCCACTACGTGGAAAGAGGCAACTGTGATTGGAATTCCCAAGCCAGGTAAGCCTCTCAACCTCCCCCTCCAGCCATCGCCCCATTAGCCTCCTCAAGGCAATGGGCAAGCTCTTCGAAAGAGTCATTCAAACGCGTATGAGGCGCTTTCTGTTTCCCACAGACGGCGACCCTCTCATCATCCCCCACCAATTCGGCTTCCGAGCCAAACACTCATGCCCCCAACAAGTTCACCGCATTGTGGAATATATCCTCAGCGGTTTCTACCCTCGACGTCATAAAACCATCGCGGTCTTCTTCGATATAGCCAAAGCTTTCGATAGAGTCTGGCACACAGGCCTCATCTACAAGCTCTATAAAATAGGTCTCCCCGATCGTCTAGTTCGTCTCGTGGCCTCCTATTTAAAACATCGTACCTTTCGTTTTAGACACGAAGGCACGCTTTCTTCACAGCGAACCATCAAGGCTGGTGTCCCTCAGGGCTCAGTACTTGCTCCTCTGCTGTACATCTTGTTCACCAACGACATTCCCATCCCGTCGAAAGGTGTTCAACTCTCCCTCTTTGCAGACGACACTGCCATCTACTGCAAAGGTGTCTCACTACCCT